ACCTGACAAGAAAACAACAAACAATACTACAGTATGCATACCATATATTTCAAACGTCATTATGCATTAATTTTTAATTAAATGTATCATTTTCAGAAATTAATACAAAAGGAAGACTGACGGTTTCACTACAACAAAACATTCACTATCTCTTCCCTTTTCTCTTCCTCATCATTTTTCATTTTTTTTTCTTCTTAATTTTATATCTAATAATTATCTTATCCTATTATTCTTATTAAATTAATTTCTGCTTACAAGTTTGATATAGTACATTTCTTCTTCCACACAAACTTTGGAAAACCCTGTTTCTTTTTTTTTTTAATTAAATGTATCATTTTCAAAAATTAATACAAAAGGAAGACTGACGGTTTAACTACAACAAAACATTCACTATCTCTTCCCTTTTCTCTTCCTCATCATTTTTCATTTTTTTTTCTTCTTAATTTTATATCTAATAATTATCTCATCCTATTATTCTTATTAAATTAATTTCTGCTTACAAGTTTGATATAGTACATTCCTTCTTCCACACAAACTTTGGAAAACCCCGTTTCTTTTTTTTTTTTAACGAAAAACATAATTAAAAATAAAAAGAAAGTTTCGGATCGGCAAGATCTCCTATACGCAAGCCCTGTCCGTCGAACATGAAATCGACACGGATTTTTTCATACTACGCGACCGCAAGACAGCTATTTATCTCCAAACTAAAATTGTGAAATCTCATCTTCCTCAATTTCGCAAGTTTTATGCTCTTTCTCTTGCACCCTTTTTGGGTTTTCGATTTGACATTTTTAAGATTTTATTATATATTCCCAAATCCTTTTGAAATTAAATTCCATATCTTTATTGAATTTCTTACTTTTTTGTTTACGTAATCCACACTGGTTCCTTTAGGATTGCTTGGGCTGAATTGTTGTATGAATTATGGATTGTCTAATGTTGTTTTTTTAATTTTTTTATAGTCTACCTTTGTGTGCATTATAAATGTTTTTTTTTTTAATAATCATAGTTGGTGTTCCATTCTTTTATTGTATATTTTTTATTTGTCAAATAGATAACAAAACATTTATATCATACTTCAACTACCTTTTGCAGTTCTTAAGGGGAAAGAAAAATATGTATATGATATTTTGTAATTAACTATTTAGGAATCAATATTTTATAAAGTAAACTTGTGATTACATTTTTTTTAGTTATTTAGACAGAATTAAATGTATATAATATTCTTTTACTATCAAATTTATTTTATTTTATTTTTATAATTACTCTATTTTTATTTATATTACAATTAAAGTAAATGGTAGATTAATTTATGTAACACATATCATCATAAAATAAAATTTATATTATACATATTATTAGCAGGTAAACTTAAATTGTAATATGCATATTTTTTTAATGAATAATTTGAACAAAATAATTTTATTAAGATTATATATTTTCACCTAACAAATAATTTTTTTCCATAAAAAACTGACTTTTTGTATATGTTGAAGAGTTATTTTTTATTTAATCATATTCCTAAACATATGCCTGCTTACTAAATTGTTCCTTTTTCATTTTTTTAATACTATAACAAAAAAAAAATCTAAAGCAAAAAATATGATATTTAGAAATTAGAGATGATCCTTTTATTGGTGCATTATATATTTTATACTTGTGAAATAAAATATATTTTATTTAAAAAAATCTTAAAAATAATATTTTCCTTACATTTAAAAACTATATTTTCCCTAAATTTTATTCTATTTTTATTTCTAACTTACATATTTGTTTAGATAATCATAACATCTTTATATCAACTAAACGAAATTAAATTATATAAAAACTATATTTCCGCAAATTTTATTCAATTTTTTTATTTCTAACTTACATATTTGTTTAGATAGTCTTAACTTCTATATATCAACTAAAAGAAATTAAATTATTGAATACGTAAAAAATATAATAAAAGATCATAGATAAAACAAATAATAAAGTAGAATGAAAAATAATTGATTGAAAAAATGATTGTAACTATTAATATTTGTAACTCCCTAACAGTTGTGACAAAATTACATTGCTTAGAATTAATTATAGCGTATGACATTTTTGGAAATTCAATTTTTTCAAGAAACAAGTCTCCATCGAGCTTGTTTGAATAATCACATGATTTGGTGGAGCCTTATTTTCTGTAACTATGGTGACAGTTAAATCCCTTAGATGGTGATCATTTGATTGTTAAAAGTTTAATTACATATAGACATTGTTGGGAGTGACCTTAAATAAGAAATAATCATGGTTTTCCAAACATTATTCTCTTATTTGTGTGATATGTTTTAAGTTTTTCACTTTCTGGGCTGGGCTGATACTAAACTTATTTTTCTAGAGGGTTCAATTTTTTTTTCTTATAATTAATTTTGATAAATATTAAATGTATTTGCGTATAAACATTAAGTATTGTGGAATTTTCATCAACAAAGCTATGTTTTGCATCATCTGTAGCAACCACGGACATAGTTACTTTATTTTTGTTTCGTTTCAGGGTCAAGTAAGCAAATTGAAATGTATGGACGTTCATCTATGCCAAGTACTTCTTCAGGTAAATCATATTTAATAAATTTTTTCCTTAAAATTCCATACAATATAATATGGAGCATGTCTATTTGTTTATAAATAAGTGTGTGATAAACATATACCATACTCTTCTTATTTTCATATTATAGCCAAAGGTGTTTATCGAAAAAGAAATCTGGAAAAGATGAAAAGGAAATATGCCGACTTTGATTCTGCGAAGAAGAAGGACTATTTGAGAAAGTTAGAAGCAAGAACAAGCTAACGAATCCACAATATAAGTGGTTTTGAGAGCTCAAATAACAATGAATGAGTCCGAAGGTACTGATTATTATTTATTGAACAATGTTTGATATATTATTTTTATAATTTGATTATGAAAATCATTCTTCTATAACTCTGATTTTTTTTAACACTATCTTAGGTTCAATTAATAAAAGACTAAGTAGCCCACAAACACATGAATTGAAGAAAGTTCAAAAGTGCAGTTATTGTGATGCTGTTAGATTTCAGTATGAGCCTTCGACTTTTTGTTGTGACAATGGAAAAGTTAAACTCGCACCCATTGATGTCCCAGACGAACTTTATGAATTGTTCACTTCAGATTCGGAAGAGTCGAATGAATTTCGTAAATCTATTCGCCAACTCAATAGAATTTTCTCTTTCACATCATTTGGTAGAAAGTTAGATAAAGATCTAGCTTCTGCAAAACGAGGAGTTTATACCTTCCGTGCACAAGGAATGGTTTACCATGATCTTCCAGAGCTTATTCCTAATGAAAGGGGTTCTGGTTATTTTCAATTATATTTTGTGGAGACGGAAAATGAGGTGGAAAGCAGAATGAGGATTTTCGAAAATTCATCATTAAGTGAATGTATGGTGAAAAAAGTCATGGATATTTTTGATATTAATCCTTATTCGAGGATCTTCAGAAGATTGAAAGATATCCCTTCGATTGATGATATCAAACTTCATATTGCAAAAGACGTGAAACTAGATCAAGTAGCTGCGATATGGGTAGAAGGAAATAATAATGACATGCCATTTGAGCGCGACATTGTCATCCATGCGCATTCTAGATATAAACACAGAATAAAGCACTACTTTGGATGTTATGACCCATTGCAATATCCTCTACTTTTTTCAATGGGTGATTCAGGGTGACATCAAAATATCAAAAAAATACTACCAGATAGTCTTCAACTTCAAACATGTACCTTTGTTCTCCAAGTCCATGAATTTGATTATATAACAATACTACTTGAATTATTTAGCCTCATTATATTATTTTTATAAGTATTAAAATATAATATGAATGAGTTTAACTAATTCTCATTTGTTGTACTAGAGTTAACAAAATTTTATATTTCAGGAACAAATTTAACTTACTACAGAGGACTGAGTTTGCAATCATCTACTCTATTCCGCTTCTTAACTACAGGCAAAAATAACAAAATAGAAGGAAGTCTGAACTTAGTAGCTGATGGAATAGAAAGGGTTGAACAAGGTTCTGGAAATCCCCACATTGCTATTTCCTCAAATTCTCATTCGACTTCGAAAATGGATGCAAATAAAGGGAAAAGACTGCGAAAGAGTTCTATCAAAGAAGATGATGACATTATTATTTCAAGAGATGATGATGATATCACCATCATGCGGAAGAAGATGGATCTGAAGAAAAAATCAACTCCCAAGAAGATATCACTATTGAAATTGAAAAACATTAAAAATGAGAAGAATTGAGTGATTTATATTCCATTTTAAACTTGCATTTTCTTCATATTTTATTTTCTATCATTCAATGGAAATCTTATCTTTACGTTCAATTTTATAATTTCTCCACATGTTGCTTTCTTTATTTCGATTATAATTTCATCAACAAATACTTATAAAACACGTGCATAGCACGTGCAACTTCCTAGTGAAGTAGAAAAGTCAAAATCATGTCAATTTTGACAACTTTTATTTTATTTTATTTTTATTTTTTTTTTCCAACGTTGGTTAATTTTGTGGTGGGTTTTAGCCTTTAGGTAGGAATTGGTTGTGAAAAACATTTCAAATATTGTTGAATTGAATATTCGATTTCTCTCAGTTGTAGCAAACATAGTGCGTTTTGACAAAGCCAGAAACTTTCCAAGGAGAGTTGCACTATTATATCATCCCGATAATGCTCCCCTACCCACGGTGGACACATGTTAATATGTCCACTGGTTTATGTGACATGCACATATTAAACATGTGCAACTAAATATCCCACTTGTTAGTTATTCAACCTCAATTTCATTTATTCTCAAACATCTCTCCTCATGAGTTTTTTTAATGCTAACTAATAGTATATACATTGTACAATTCAAATTTTGTATAGGGACACTTGGTCACAACTCACAAGTATTACTAACCAGCCAGTAAGGACTACATACAGTATATAAATTGTGATAATGCTGATTTCAAGTGAACCACTTTCTTCCTCCTCTGCTTGCTTTGAGCTTCATGACAAGATCCTCACGTTCGGACTCGACTTCTGCATACTTTAGGCTCATTTGCAGGTATCGTTCTTTGAGTTCTCTGAGCTCGGTCTCGAGCGATGATTTTGTTCTCTCGTACCTTTCCTTTGTCACTACCTCACAGTTAGTAGATGGCTTCTTGGAAGAAACAGAATGGTACTTCTGGCCAGCTGAGTTACGACTTTTTGTGCCCTGTGCAATGGAAGAACATTAAATTTTTCATATGCATCAAGTCATGAGATTCTTTTTCGAAAATGTGTTTTAATAAATAGGAGAAAATGCCACAAAGAAAGAATGGTATGAAGTGTACCTCTTTATGAAGTTTATTATTATCCCTCTCCTTCATCAACTTTAGTTCCTCTTCAAGTGCTCGTGTTTTCTTTAAGATCTCGATATTCTCCTCCTCGAGGCTATGAAGCTTCATCCGAAATTGCTCGTTTTCTTCCTTTATATTGCTCAGCTCGTTATGAAGTTCCTCGTTCTTGATGGAAACCATCTCTTTCGCGGTCTCCACTTGACGAAGCTTTTCTTCTATGACTAATGTACTTCTCTTGCATTCATCGAAATCAGAAATAGCATCCTGAAAAATCGATACTTTTTCACGAAGCAATACATTCTCCGCCTCGAATTCTTCCAAATCGCCAGAGACCATCTTCAGCGCACGCTCCAGTTTTCCCTTATCAGCTTTACATCTTTCGAGCTCATCTTTCAGGATTGAAATTTCATCTTGCATTTGAGCCTTCAAAGTACGATTTGATTCAAGCTCGTTCAGTTCAATCTTCATTTTCTCTTCACTTATTTTGTAATTTTCCAGCAGTTGTAGATACCTTTCGTGTTCAGCCACCAGATTCTTGTGACTTTGTTCAGAAGAAGCTAGCTGACCTGTCAAATCTTCAACTTTTAACTCATATTCTCCCACGGCCGCTTTAAGGTTATCTTCGATTAGCTCGGCTTTCGACCGAGCTTCCTTAAGTGAATCGTGAAGCTTAGACTTGTCGTCTATCAAATGCGAAATTTCATGAGAGGCTTTCATATTAAAATTCTGTAAATTTATATTCTCCTCTTTAAGGTACTCACACTCTTCTCGAGCTCTGGACAGTTGACTCTCCAAATCTTCGGATTTTCTTTTGAGTTTCCCAATATCGTCCTTAAGACTCTTAGCCAAAGATTTGGAGTGCTCTCTTTCTTTCAGACTTTCGTCTTTCAATTGCGTAATTTGACTTTCGAGACCCGATACGTTCTCCCATAACCGAACATTTTCTTGTTGCATTCCTGATAAATCACGTTCCAAATCATTCTTTTTCCTTTCTAGAGCTTCTAAATTCTTCTGAAGCTCGGTTTTAATCGAAAGTTGAAATTTAACATCACTTGCTTCGGACTCGTCACTTGGACAAACAGTCGGGGGGTGCTCGCTCGAAATCGAGTCGAAAGAAGAGCATTTCTCAATTCCTGCGATTTTATTCAAATCCTTGAGCTTGAACAAAAGCTCGAGATTCTCATCCGTGAGCTCACCACAATCCTTTTCCAACTCTCGAATTTTTCCTCTCAACATTTCGTTTTCTCTAACGACATCCAAATTGCTCACGTTATTATCGTCCAACGCCTCAAAATGATCGCCCTTAACATAACCCGACAAAGTTGCTTCTAAGCTTGCAATCTCCTCTTCCTTGGCAGATAACTTAAATTCGAAATCCTTTTCGAGCAGTAACAGATTTTCTCTGTTCGACCTTCGCTCATTATCCAAATCATCGGTTTTATCTCTCAATACTTGCTCGAGCAACTTAAAATCGGCTTCCAATTTCTTTAGAGACGAAAGCTTCTCTATCTCGATCCTCTGTTGTTCTATGGTCTGCTCAAGCTCCTGAAGAACAGAAACGAGCTCGACGTTCGACTCTTGGCTTCTTTTCAGCTGGTGGCCGATATTTTCATTCAAATCTTGCTGATACTTCATCTCGTCTTCCAATACCTTCTGCATCTGACTCAGATTTTCGGATTTGGCGATCATATCTCGAGTACACTGATTCTCGGTCGATTTTTTCAACTCGAGCTTTAACTTCTCTACTTCTCTATTTAGGCTGTCGTGCTCCGCACGTGCGGCCGAGAGTTCGATCGTTAACTCCGAGTGCTTCTTCAAGACATCGGAAAGTTCTTTTCTCGATAGGTCCAAATCAACCATTAGCTTCCTCGCGTTCCTCTCCCACATTTTGGCTTCGGCCGTGCGTTCGGAAGCTTCTAGATGGTTCTTTGAGGAAGCAACGTTATTATAGATGCTCTCTGCTTGATTTTCGAGCAATTTACACTTTTCACTCTCGAACGCACGTTTGGTCGATAGATTTTCGTTCAACATGGAACCCTCCATTGACTCAATAGACGAGGTTTGACTTGTTTCCTGCAAATAGCTCGTAAATCGAAATAACTGAATGCTGGCAATTTGGGCGGGAAAAAAGAAAATAAGATGTTAAAACAACCTTGCTATCCAACTCTCGAGGACTCGAGATCACAGCCCGGTCAGCAGCCCTCGGAGTGCTCTCGCTTGAATTATCCGATGTGTGTAAATTGGTCTCGACTTCGTGATTGAGCAAGTGTCGATCTTTTTCTCGAAAGCTCAAGCTTTTTGACTCTTCATCCCTGGACGCGCAGAAAAATCCGTCAGCTCACAGATCGACAAAATCAGAAATGGAAACTCGGCCACATGAACACCAACCCGGTTTTCGATCTCGGAATAACGCACTGAATTTTGAGCTGAAAGCCAACAAAAGACCAAAAAAAAAAAAAAAGAAAAAATAAATTGCAAAAGATGTAATTATAATAATCACAATTACAAAGTAAATTTAGGTAGTTACTGAAAAAAAAAAAATTCAAGTAAACCCACCTGCAAAATTGTTCCATAAATGCATTTCTTTAGAGGCTGTGAAACTGCACTTGGAACTCTTGAACTTGCAAACTGTCCCAGATTTATATTTGCTTCTCCAAGAATGCTGGATCTTGTTGAGCCCTGATTTGTAAATATAAATAATATAATTTTCCAGTTGTCTGAACATCAAAATGTTGCAAACACCCGGACAAAATTTCTACTGCTACATAACTTTTTTTTTGTTCAACAGTCTCGTTACGGAACCATTCCGTCGGGGTTTGTAACCATAAGAGATGATTGATCTAACGGTTACAAAGCCCAACGGAATGGTTCCGTATCGGGACCGTAGCATCTTCCCTAACTAAGTAAGAAGGTTTTTTGAAGTCTTTTACCATGGACAAAATCAGCTTGACCAGGCATCCTTCATATTCTTTAGAAGAATCATCTCTTGTGATGGAGATAGATTCAGATATTGTATCTATCCACTGGCAGCCACCATTTCTAACAATTGCTTTTCCCAGTTTTGCCACTGTTCTTCCTGTTTCCACATGAATTATAGTCACATATAGCCTGTCCCATCCTTTTGGCACCTGCAAGAAAAAAAAAAAAAAAAAAATAAGGAAAACTAGTCCATCATACTCTGGGAAAATGCTACGGTCCCGTTACGGAACCATTCCGTCGGGGTTAGTAACCGTTAGATCATCATCCGTCGGGATAGTTGATCTAACAGTTACAAATCAATGGTTCCGTAACGGGACCGTAGCATTTCCCCATACTCTGTGTGTATATATGTTTTTTTATTTTCTTGATTTTGATAGGCATTCATACATAATAAATAGAAACAAGTTTTATGTGTAAGAATTTCTACTGAGATTTCTCCAGAAACTGCTCAGAGCACACTAAAACAGAGAAAGTAAAGGAAGAGACAAACATATGGAGAATTTGCACCTGAAGGGCTTGTAAATTGGAGATTTTGAAATCAACCCTTGATCTGGATTGTCTGTTACTGTTAGTTGGCCTCTGAGTCTTCAGCATTCTCACTCACTGTGTGTTTTTTTCTCTTTGTTCTCTGTCTCTCTCTGTGTGTGTGTGTGTGATTCTTGAGCTACTGTACAGTGAGCAGCAACAAAGAGGAGCAATAAAGATATGTTATGAATGAGCAAATATACTGTTATTATTACTATATAAGTTGTGTAAGTTGTGTATTAATGGCTTATAGATACAGAGAGAGAGAGAGAGAGAGAGAGAGAGAGAGAGAGAGAGAGAGAGAGAGAGAGAGAGAGAGAGAGAGAGAGAGAGAGAGAGAGAGAAGATTAATGGAGTTAGGGGGAAATTAGCTGGGCAGTCATTGTTTTCTCAACCTCTGCACTTCTTGCAGTTAGGCTTTGGGTTGTTTCTTATGTACTCAACTTCACACTACCAACAAATGTTCATAACCAAAAAAAAAAAGAAAAAAAAAATCTTCACTATCATTGTGAAATTATATTCATTGTGGTGCATTTTTCACTGAGAAAGTACACTTACCTATTCCATTAGTATGTAGACTAAAGACCAGACCTAAGAATATACAAATGGTTGAAGGTAGGTAATAAGCATTTAAATCCCTTGGCCATTAAATGTTTTTTTTTTTTTTTTTTTTTTCTTGTAGTGATTAATTAAATAGAGGGAAAATTTTGACTACAATGTCATGAATTTATGGAAAAAAACTACTTTTTTCTTGGGGATTTTTGGGTTCAGAGCATCTCCAACGATGTTTTAATTGCAGAATTCTAGAGGCAGTGCGAGGAAAAACATCTCCAATGGTGAATTATTTGCTTCTATATTTTATGATGCATGAGAGAAGTTTAAAAATTTTAGAATTCTTTCCACATATCAAAGTCCCGTTAGACATGTTGGGTCACTATTTTTGCTTCTATCTATTTCTTATTTTTTATTAAAAATTAAAATTAATTAGAGAGAAGCGTAACTGCACGATGAATTCTTTTGCGGGAACTGCGTTTAAACATTTACTATTGGAGAGTGATTTAATCTATTCCGTCCACGTGGGGAGAAATCCTTCTATTTATTTGCTATGTAGATCACAATTCACAGAATTCATTGGATATGGTCTTAGATGAATAAATCTCTCTACATTGATCCTCAAATGTCTGAGTTCAAGAAAATGTCTAACTGGACTAGATTTTTTTAATTAACACCATCATAGAGATCTAGATCTTAATATAAATAGTCAATTAAATTTTCATTAATTTATTAACAAATAATGCAAGTAGTTGTTCAAGTTGAAATCTACAGTGCCATGTGTCTTTCTTCATAAACATATATAATTAACAAACTTGACTTGAGATTAGCATGCTTTTCTTTATTCATTTTTCATTTGACTAAAAATTAATTATAAACATGTAATTAACAAACTTGACTTGAGATTAGCATGCTTTTCTTTGTTCACTATCATAAAAACTAACATAAGTAAAAGTATGATATTTCATAATATAAGCATGTAATTTTGTTTAAAAAGTATGACCGGTCGGCCCGCCTAACGAAACGATTAAACCGTGATGGATCGATCAAATTATAGTAGCTAGTCCCATCTGGAAAACTCATTTTGTCACAGGCTTTACTTTAAATTGCAAATTTTAGTACCATGATTCTATTGTCTCTATCAAAGGGATTTTATGTTTACTTGAATAGAGATACTATACAAAAAGCACGGTCAATTCTTTTCATAAACACTACATAAATGGAGAAGTGATGGTCCAGCTTATTTTTGTCCTTGACATCAGTAGCCCATTCCTTCATTGATGGCAAAGCCCGGCCCGTTGTTAACCTTTGTGGGTCGGGCCGAGGATGAAGCCCAAATAGTAGGGAAACCGAGACGAAACTGTAAAACCAAGCCAAACTTATAAGTTATAAGTCCGTCAAATTATTTTCGTGAACAACCATACACCGGTAAAATACAGATCTTAAAAGTAAATTTTGAAGCTGCTGAAGCTAAAATTTGCTCCATCACATGCAGAAAAGCTTTGTGCATTTACAAGGCAACTAATGAAAATCAATACATATTTCATGTACCTAAATGGACTGGCATTAAAATGCACTTTCATCGTGAGAGGATAGCACAACCTCAACTGGACAAATTTGCCGAGACAAAATTCTGCACGGTTTGCCTTTGACTCAATTTCATGTATAAACCCTGCCACAAAACACATACAAAGATTAGGTTTAGCATAACAATTCACTGTCCAAGTAGAGTTATCACTGACAAAACACAAAAACGCACCACGGATGATAATAATTAAAAACAAAAGGCAGAAAAATTAGTGTTACGTTTGTGGTGTGTATAGTGGCTCCAGTGGTCATGCCGATAGTTTGGTCAGGGACCAACTCGAAGCTCAAGTGTTGCAAAAGTACAGCAAGCGATACAATGGCTTCAAGTAAAGCAAATTGATCTCCAACACATTTACGCGGGCCCCCACTGAATGGGATAAATCTTGCAGTAAGAAACAATTTGAATTTAGAAGGTGTGGACATAACTGATTCCTCTAAACAGAAATATATACGATTTCAATAGCCCACCTAAAGTCCGTATTTGTTTCGTTAGGAACCGGGCCTTCTAAATCAAATCTTTCCGGCACAAACTCATCTGCTCTTTCCCAAACCTTCAAAAGCACAAAGAATAAACTAATCTCAAAATAGTTTACAAGGAAAAAAAAAAAATGAATAAAAATTGCATCTTGAACTTCCAACTGCACTTAGTTATCCTGGATAATTCAGGTAGGATACCTGCGAAGAGTGATGAATATTGTACACAGAGATCATGATATCTTGACCTGCATTGACTTTGTAGTTGCCAGGTAGCACATCTGCCACCTCAGCTCTTCGTAACAAGACCTAATGAAATTCATATTCCAAGAAAGTGACATAAGATCATCGACAAGCACGTCTTACGGAAATTTTGGAAAAAGGTTTTTAGCGAATAATTACAGGTGGATGAGGATATAGACGCATAGACTCCATTATACAGCGGGTCAAGAACTTGAGATTCTTTATGTCTTCGTATGTGGGAAGCTGGCCCTGTAAAACTCTATCGACTTCCTCTTGTGCTTTCCTTAAAGATGATGGGTCCTAAATTATGAAAGAATAAAATGAGTTATGAGCAAGCCAGGAATTAATCATGGAACTATTAATTATAATTGTGCTAACTCACAGCATGAACTTATGAAAACTCCATTCAAATGCGAAAACTACAAAATGCTATGAACATCGAAACACAAGGAGATACAAACAGACATCTATCACCTTACTAAGTAGATAAGCCGTCCAAGTTAACACCGATCCAGTCGTTTCATGACCAGCAACTAACATGGACAAAAGATCGTCTCTCAATTGGGTGCTCGAAACCTAAGAAAAAACATTATGGCACCTTCAGAAAACCATTTTCTTT